CCCCCAAAAAAAAAGAGAAAAAGATCAATAAGAATCATTTCTCAGGGGCAAATTTGGATTTTCCCGCATTTCTTGCACTCCTAAATCACTGTTCTATCACATTGCAGTCGAAAACAGCTCGATTTTAACACGCATTAAAAAAATTTCTCCGGCATATATAATCTAATTAGCATTCAAAGAAAATCTTTAAGCACTAAAACACACCCTAAAACAAATAGTTTTGAACTTTGCTATTCTAAGGTAGCGATTTGGAGGCATCCAATTTTCCCGACATCCAATTTTTGAGTATCACAAACTTCCCTACTAGTCTTTTGTTTTTAAATCCTATAATACGCACGGCTATTCTACATTTCGCTACCTCAGAACAATAAAGCTCTATCTGACATGTTGTCGGTTTTGAGTTATCCAGACCAATGATTATAAAGACCACTAGGTCAGAAATTGAATGTTCTATCTGCTCAATCAACGTCGTAAGATTATTCGGAGTCGTTATCAAGATGTTCAAAGAACTGCAATGGATAAAGCTTGACATGTTGTGAAATTCAACATTTTTTACGTCAAATTTCTCAAAACTAGGTACTGGGCAGATAGAACTTTGTAATTCTAAGGTACCGATTTGAAGGCAGCCAAGTTTGACTACATACAGTTTTTGAGGAATATTTCATTAAAATATATAATAATAATATATTATATGTATTATTAACCTAATTCATAATTCAGACAACCAAACACATGCTTGTCCTTTGTGCGCTTGAATAACCAATAATTCAGTCTCCAGGAATGAAAATCTAACAACAAAAAAACCACACACCCACGTACAGAAAGAAAGAAAAAAACAGATTGAAGTGTTTAACAATTCAAACCAAACTTTTCGTTTTGCGAACCAGATGGCGTTATTTGTATAGGATCAGGCGGAAAAAAAATAGTTTGAAAAGTGTCCATACAGAAACAAAATTGGTGGTTGAGGGGAAAAAGGCGATAGTGACGTATTAGATCGAGATGGGGTTTTTTTGTTCCTTTAACTATTCAATACATGCTTGTATAACCCGTAGGCCTAATCTATCACTAGTTCACCGATATAGGCATTCACACAGACAGGAAGACGCACAGGTAAACCTACAGGGACAGAGAAAGAGGAAGAGAAAGATACAGAAAGACATACATATAATATGTAAATATATAATATATAATATATATATATATATATACATATATATATATATATATATATAAATAAATACAGACAGATAGACAGGGTGAAGCAGCGAAAGGGGCAGGGGGGGGAAAGGAGGAGGAACGGGGGCAAAGGCAAATTATCATGTTAAAGAAATAGAGAAATACATCTCTATTCAAATCATGCGAATACAACCGTAATCTATCACCCATTCATCGATAGTGTATCGATCTTGGGAGCAGGGATGACCCGTGGGATGGGTGCACCTCAGTGACTCTCACACTTTCAAACCGCACGGAGTCTCGCCTTATAGAGCTTGGGGGTTAAAGGTCACTCACAAAGATTTTCACCGGCGTTTGTGGTGCGGAGGTTAAGCACTTCGCTGTACCACGCAGAAAAACATTTTAATAAGTCCGGAGTTTGATTCCAGTGTAGCAGGCGCGGTTCGTCCATACAGCACGGTCGTGTAATGCCGCCCATTTTTTAAAAATGTTCCATTACGTAAAGCTTCCACAATGATAAAATAAAAGAAGCAGAAACAAGCAAATTTATTTTTAAAAATCAAAGCGACAAGTAAAAGAAATGAAAATAAAAGCATGAGGTCTTCCCTTATCAGCCCAAAGACCCCAAAAATATACACCATCTCATTTACCATGTCCTTGGCTACATTGTATCTTCAGCCTTCGATAGCTTAATTTTGTGCACGCCCACTTTTTAGCCCCACGAGCCGCCCCTGCAGTGTAGAGAGAAATTTTTATTGAATTTCGGTCTTTCGGTTGGGACATGCATCCCTCTCAAATCTGGGCTGGCCCAGACAGGTGAGGTCTAAGTGGGGGCGTTAAAAATGTACCTCATTTTTTAAAAATCCAATTTGAAAGAAAGGCAAATGTGATGAGGTGGTGTGTGTATACGTGTGTGTGTGTGGGGGGGGGGAGAGTGCCTACAAATCTTGTAGTTTTGTAAATAGCGTTGGCGTCTAGTGGTCAGGCTCGGTCCGAAGCCGTGATCAATGGAAAGGCAATGTACGCGATTTCTCCTATTTGGCTCGGTCCTGTCGGAAGTGGATGTCAAATTCGGAGTTCCTGCCCATCAAATAACCGCCCAATGCTGCATTCTGGAATCGAACTTGGGTCTTCTGCGTGCGACAGAGAAGTGCCTCATCGATACGCTACAGACACCAGTGAAGAAGGAATAAACTAATAAACTTGAGGAGGGGAAAGACGAGAGAGAGAGAGAGAGAGGGGGGGGGAAGAAAGGTAGAGAGAGAGAGAGAGAGGGAGAGAGAGAGAGACGAGAGAGATAGAGAGATAGAGAGAGAGAAAGAGAGAGAGAGAGAGAGAAAGAAAGAGAGAGAGAGAGAGAGAGAGAGAGAGAGAGAGAGAGAGAGAGAGAGAGAGAGAGAGAGAGTTCTGTCAATCCTTCAAACATGCTGTAAAAGAGGTTAGAAATTAGTTCGTATGTCAAGCAGCGCGAAAAAAGGGGTATTTAATGGTTAGGTGATTTAGTGTGAGTCTTTTCTTCTCTTTATCCGCATGGTAACTGTAGACGCCACGTTCGTTAAAAATCTAATCACAATCCCCTTTTGCACTAAAATTCTTCAGCTGCTGTCCATTACATTGCTAATCTGGGGAAACCCAAAGACTGGCGTACCAACTTTTTCCCAAAGCCTATTTACCCGAAACCAATAATATATTGTTAAGAATCCAGTTCAGAAAGGAGTTACATGTTACTTATGTTTAAGTCTCCATTAAAACACCTATTCTTGTAAGAACAGCTGTGCTTGGAAGCTGTCGATGCTGTGTACCTAAAACGTGTACGTATTGAAATTATGTTTGGTTATTTCTTCTCAATTGACTTCATTGTCGTAGGAGATGTCATTGAAAATGTCATTGAACCCCCCCCCCCCCCCCCCCCGCCCGAATTTCCCAAAAGAATCTCTTCTTTTTTTCTTTTTGTTTTTAAACATCAGTTCCCTTCGACTCAAAGTAACTCGTTCAATCGGAAAAACCCACTTTTACCGTGTATCGGATTGTTTCCCCCTTCATAATTTGTATTATTATGCTTAAGAACATACCGAGTTTAAGCTCAGGGCAATAAACTTTTCCGAGTTGCCTTTCCATACTTCGCGTGGTTTGTGGTGAAGGGAGCGAGATTGGTGTAGACAAGGAGAAGATTAAATCTTTCGCTAGTACATGCACACTTCCACATTGGCGTTTATTAGGCACGCATCTGCTTCTAACTGGGGTGTCTTTAGGCCATTCCCAAAAGGGATATATTTATTAACATGTTGTTATGCACAGTAGCATTGTAAATGGGCTGATTTATCAATGTCATGCTCATACTGTGCCGGTACAACATAGGGAGAATCGCTGCTTTTTATTTCCTCATCCTTACTATCGCCATTTTCCCTCTACTTCTTCGTACGTTTTTCACTCTCTTCTGAACTGCTATTTCCAGGGTGCCTTGATAGTCGAAGCAGACTTTGTGCTG